TCTAACTGTGGGCGACCGATAGGATTAGCTACGCCCCACTGCACACGCTGTGATTGTGTAATGCATGTACACGTGTTTGGTCAGTTTCAACTTATTTAGTTCATGACTTCTCTGCTTAATTATCAGCTGAGAACGCAACCATTTAATTCTTTTAGCTTTATAGAAAGACTAATGTCGACTTAATTCTTTTAGAATATATGAACATGATGAACAGAGCTGGGTTTTTTTTTTTTTTTTTCATTCAGGCCCATAATTCTAACAAATTAGGTGGTGATCAATATCGTTAATTCAAATATTCGGGATTATTGTAAATGAATAATATTTGAACATGTTGGAAGAGGTATTTTGGCGTGATATTTTGTATTTTCATTTTATTATTTTTTTCCCAGTGAAATACACAATGCAATTTTCAATTCGGAATAAAAAAACTGCAGTAATACTGTATGAAAAAACTATTATGATGAAAAAAAAAGGCGTAATATAAATCGGATCGATATTTACTACAAAAAAAAAAAAATATGTTGAGTTATAGATCTTTTCATTATAATGCAGGTTATACTTATTAGAAAAACAGCAATGATAATATTTTGATAAAATAAATGCCAAGTATCATTCAAATATCACCCTTTAGACTAAAAAATTAAGATTTTATAAATTATTTCGATAATTTTAAAGCTACATATAGCGTATCTGAGCTAAAAAAAATCAAAAAAAATCGAGATTTTGTTTTAAATTTCTAATATCTATGAAACGCGATTGATTTAAATTGTGTAATTTACAGGAAAGTCCTATCTTTATATACGGTAATAAAACAAATAGAAAGATCTTTTTAATTTTAGTAAGCCTGATATCAGAAATACGCCATATATGACTTTAACATGTTTGAGCCAAATTAAAAAAAAAAACGATCTTATATATTCACAATTAAATAGCCTTACTTTAACATTAAGGATTATCGACTTCACATTGAGTAAAATACGGTATAGCACACCGTCACGGTAATCTCGTGTCCCCGCGATCACCGCGATGATAAAACCGCGACGGTGTATCGCGGAAAGGATTAAAACACCATCGCGGGGGCGCGGGAAAATACGGGATCCGCGTTGACCGTAGTGTAGGTTAAAAATTGATCGTCCATTGTGGCCCCACCCTACCCCTGGGAGTCATGATTTGAACAAACTTGAATTTACACCACCTGAGGATGCTTCCACATAAATATGACCAATCATAGCTTTGCTGTTCTTGAGAAGAAGATTTTTGAAGATTTTTCCTATATACACCTAGGTTTTTCAAAAGTAGGTCCCGTTGACACACTTTTCAGTCAACTTACTCATAGGACTAAAGATGCATCAACTGACAAAGTTTGGTGATTCTAAGCCAATTAGTACCCGAAATGTTTAATTATAGCCATATAAATTGAAATGTAGGTCACAGTGACCTACTTTTAATTTGACCTACTTTGAGAACCCAAAATACCTCAACTGACAAAGTTTGATGATTCTTAGCCAAATAGTACCCATAATATTTAAAAATAGCCATAAAATTTCCAAAGTAGGTCACAATGATCTAGTTTTCAAGTGAGGATTTTCAAGGACCCAAGATGCATAGGCCTTAAATGTCCAAAACATACCTCTAAAATGCTTTGAACTCAATGCCTGCAAAATTCAAAAAGTAGGTCATAGTGACCTACTTTTAAATAAATATGTTTTATGGCCTCAAGATGATTCATCTTACAAGAAGTAATGATTCTAAATCTCTCTGTCTTCAAATTATTGACCTTTAATGTTTTGAAAAGATTAGCCATAAAATTCAAAAAGTAGGTCAAGATGACCTACTTTTTAGTTGATGTACTCCGACGACCGAAGATGTATTAACTGACAAAGGTTGATGATCATAGGCCTATTTGTTCAAAACATGCCTCTTATCATTTTTAAAAAGAATGACTGCAAAATTTAAAAAGTAGGTCACCGTGACCTACTTTGGAGTCAACATGATATAAGGTCCTTAGATGCATCAACTGACAAGATTTGATGATGCTAGTCCTTATAGTAAGCAAAATATCAACAATTTAATAAAATGTAATTTTTGGTCAATGTTGAAGTGACCTTGAGACCATGCCCTTTGCCTCAGGGTGATGCCTTGAATTTTTAAGTTTGAGTTTTTAATCTTCAACATATCCTCATCCTTTTGTATAAGTTTGGTGATAATCTGCCAAGTGGTTTTTGAGAAGAGGATTTTTTAGCAACCAGTACTTTGGGTTTTATTTACCTAATTATCTCCCCTTGTTTAAGGGTCACAACCCTATTTTTAGTATAAACAGGAGCCCTTGGGCAAAAGATACCCTGTGACAAATTTGACAATAATTGGCCAAGGGGGGTCTTAAGTTATGGCCCATATTCTAAAAAGTTAACTCACACTGCACAAATGGCCATAGCATTAGCTCTTTGAGCCTATGGCTCAGAAGAGCTTAAAATGGCATCAATAATTCAAAATTTTTTCTTCAATAAAAGAACAAGAGGCCCTAGGGCCTCATCGCTCACCTGAGCACTATGGCTAGGAAAAGGCAGAAATCAGTTTAGTCTTGAAAGGTTGAAAAGTTTAAATATAAAAGTGGTCGGGGGGATTTTGATTTGAACTAACTTGATTCTATACTTCATAGGGATGCTTTTGAATTAATATGAAAAATGATGGCTCTGCTGTTCTTAAGAAGAATTTTTTTATTGATATATCCTTTGTATTCCTTTGTATAACTATGATCCCCTATTACGGCCCCTCCATTCTCCTGGGGGGTCATGAACTAAACAAATTTGAATCTACATTACCTGATGATGCTTCCATTTAAATATGACTAATCATGACTTTGCTATTCTTGAGAAGAAGATTTTTAAAGATTTTTCCTATGTATTCCTATTTAAAACTTTGATTGCCCATTGTGGTCCCATCCTACCCCCAGGGGTCATGATTTGAACAAACTTGAATCTACACCACCTGAGGATGATTCCATATAAATATGACCAATCATGGCTTTGCTGTTCTTGAGAAGAAGATTTTTAAAGATTTTTCCTATATATTCCTATGTAAAACTTTGATCGCCCATTGTGGCCCCATCCTAGCCCCTGAGATCATGATTTGAAAAACTTGAATCTACACTACCTGAGAATGGTTCCATATAAGTTTCATATTTTCAAGCACAGTTGTTCTTGAGAAGAAGATTTTTAAATATGTCATTAATTTTTCACATAATTATCTTGCCTTGGAAGAAGACGTGGTCCCAAAATTGAATCCCCTTTACCCAAGGATACTTTGTGGCAAGTTTGGTTGAAACTGGCCTAGTGGTTTTTGAGAAGAAGATGAAAATGTGAAAAGTTTACAATGACGACAACAACGCCAGACAACGGACAAATTTTGATCAGAAAAGCTCACTTGAGCCTTTGGCTCAGGTGAGCTAAAAAAAAAACCAAACGATATTTATTTGCATAATTATAAAATAGATTGATAATCTGAATATTATGTAGCCAATTTTAACGGAAAAGCCAATGTTACATAAAAATTTTCAGATAAAAAGAAATTTCTGTGCATCAACAAGGTATGATCACAAATACATTTTTTACATATGAAATTCAAGAAATTTAATGGATAATATTCCTTTTCCTTTTTTTTTTTGATTAGTCATATTTAATGCAAATGTGGAAATAATCAAGGATAGGACTTAAGCAAAGCCCCGAATCCTATTTTTCTTTCAAATACATTGGGATCACATTGCTTGTTATTTTGACACTTAGTAATTAAAGTCAAATCTAATGTCAAATAAAACATTTATTGAAAGTTATCTCCCCCACTGTGTTGTATATCTTTAAATGCAAACTATCACAATTTTAACTGTGTTCTGATTTTTACATCAAATAAGGGGCCAAATTTGGCCATTACTAACCTTGTCCTTTATTAATAACAAGAGGTCCATGGGCCACAATGCTCACCTGAGTAACTGTGACCCTTCTTGTTCTCTATCAGCAGATTCTTTTTTTTGCCTAACTTCATCACCCATTGTAGCCCTCCGGGGGTCATGATTTGAACACACTTAAATGTACACTATCTGAGGATGCTTCTTTATAAATATGACTAATCATGACTTTGCTCCTCCTGGAGAAGAGATTTTTAAATATTTTTTTTCTATGTATTCCTTGTAAAACTTTGATCCCCCATTGTGGCACCACCCTACCCCCAGGGGTCATGATTTGAACAAACTTGAATATGCACTCTTGTGGATTGATGCTTCCATATGACTGATCATGGCTTTGCTGTTCTTGACAAGATTTTTACAGATTTTTCTTATGTAGTTCTATGTATGAATTTGATTACTCATTGTAGCTCAACCCTACCCCTGGAGTTCATAATTTGAACAAACCTGAGCCTAAACTACCTATTGATGCTTACATATATGACTGATCATGGTTTTGCTGTTCTTCATCATAAGATTTTTTAAAAGATTTCTATGTATTCCTATGGAAAACTTTCACCCCCATTGTAGCCACCATCCTACCCCCTGGGGTCATGATTTGAACAAACTTGAATCTACACAACCTGCAGATGCTTCCATATAGGTATGATTAATCATGGCTTTCATTGATAATTTTTTAAAAACATTTTTCCTATTTATATCCATGTAAATCTTTGATCCCCAATAGTGGCAACAACCACCAAGGGTCATGATTTGAACAAATTTGAATCTACACTACCTGAGGATGCTTCCAATATGAATAATCATGACTTTCCTATTCTTGAAAAGATTTTTAAAGATTTTTCCTATTTTCCTACAAATGTGATTCTATCTCATTCTGCCTGTTTTTTTTGCTATATCTGTCAAAAAAAAAAACCCTGAATCTTTGTATGACTCATTTGTCGATCACTTCTCTCTGGTTATGTATATTTTATATGCATGTAATGTACGTATAGCACCATTTCTATGGTTTCAGTAGAGCTAAAAATAAACAATCACTTACAGTGGTGACCATTCCTCCTTCTTCTTTTTTCTATCTTTTCTGGCTGCTCTTTGTTTTTCCTCGATTCTGTTTTTCTCAGCTGATGCTAAATCTGTGCAATAAAGAATTTAAAAGCACTTTAACAAAGTGAGAAGCCCAAGGGCCTCACTGGTTACTAGAGTATAATATAAACCTGTAAATGATCCATGGAATGGTACATAAATACAGTGGACACATTAATCTGATTAAATAGAACTCATGTTACTAAATCAAATTTAATTTGATTAAATGTATAACAACATGATAATCAACATGTTTTGTCACCAAAAAGCACTCTTAACTACATTGAAACATAAAAAACATCCTTAAAGTTACTCTAAAGTACTTTCCCTTGTCATTTCTCACACAGTTTGTAACACATTATTGACTCATTAGTAAGAGACCCATGGGCCACATCGCTCACCTGAACATATTGGCTAGAAAAGAGCACAAATCAATTCATTATTGAAAAGAATACATGGGGGGGGGGGGGACTTGAATTTTGCACTAACTCATGATGCCTCCAAATCAATATAACAAATGGCTTTGCTGTTCTTGAGATTTTCAAAGACTTTTTTATGATTTTTTCTTTGTAAAAATTTGATAGGCTCTCCCTACCCCCTGGGGTAGTGATTTGAAGAAACCTGAATCTACACAACATGAGGATGCTTCCATATCAATGTGACTTAAAATAGTTTTTTCTGTTCTTGAGAAGATTTTTCATATATATTCTTAAGTAAAAATTTGATTCCCTGTTGTGGCCCTTCCCAACCCCCAGGGGGTCATGATTTGAACACACCTGAATCTACACTACCCCAGGATACTTCCACCTAGTTTCAGCTTTTCTGGTCCTGTGGTTCTTGAGACAAAGGTTTTTAAAGATTTTTTTCACTATATTTCAATGTAAAACTTGGACTCCCTATTATGGCCCCACCCTACCTCTGGTGGTCATGATTTGAAGAATTTAGAATCTACACTACCCCAGGATGCTTTCAAATAAGTTTCAGCTTTTCTGACTTAGTGGTTCTTGAGAAAAAAATATTTCAATGACTCCATCCTATTTTTGTCTTTTCTTGATTATCTCCCCTTGTAAGGAGGCTAGGTATTTCATTTTAACAATTTTAACTCCCCTTCACCCAAGGATACTTTGTACCAACTTGAAGTAGACCAATACTCGCACTACGTCACTAACGAATAGTAAAACTGGAACCACACTTCTCATTTCCAAGATGTGATTTTTGAACTATATTGGTTTCACTTTTACTTGGTGTTTTAAATATCCAGTAACAATTTTGCTCTGAGTCGGTCACATCAACAAACTTACAAACATTGCTTATACAGTTTACAGGGAAATTTAAAAGGGAAGGCTGGAAATAACTTTCAGTTGACAGAGAGACGATAAGGTAATAAAGATAAAATATAAATGACATTTCTGTTGATGAGAATATGCCGATAACATGGACAAGTATGCTACAGGTATCAAATCTATGCAACAGAGAGACTATTGTCGGCGAACGAGTTGAAGATAACACTGATAGTTCTCAAGAAAAGGAGTTGCTACGATTTGACAGCGAAAAATTTTATTATTTCAAACACTGCAATATTTATCTTGAAAAATACTTATTACATTAGAAGCATACCCCCCCCCCCCCAATCACATTTAATCACCATGCAAAATTATCTTTAGAATACTAGTAAATAGGAAACAGTTGATTCACTTGCAGCACACTTACTTCTTTAACCAGATCATCCAGTTTGTGGGTGTGTATTATTATTGTTTTTAAATATGTACTATTTTGTAAATACAAATGTACACATAAACTTTAACCTAGTTATAGTAAAATGTGGCAATATCTTACTTTCGGAAGAGAAATTTCATGGGGGTGCCTTAAGTTCAGAGCCCATATCATGAAAAGTAATGTGTCAACATAAATTTTTTTTTTAGCTTATTCTTTTTCTTAGACGTTATTTAGTAAAAAGAAAGCAAATTTTTTAAGATTGAGTCTATAAAAATATTAAAAAATGACCGAGATTGACCTGTGAAGCATATTTTCTCGTACTAAATTTTGATATGTTAGCCTAACAAAGTGCACATATTTAAAATAATTCATGCAAAACAATGATTAAATATGGTTCCTTAACATTTTTCTATTCTTTTTTGTGTATTAAAGTTTACAGTTTAGATTTTAATTCTTATATATAGACAAATCCGTGGCCAGGTACATTTTCAGTATTTTGCATTTCGGGGTATATATTAGTCTGAGAAGCATTAGCAGAAAAATAAACATGTTGACATATAATTTTTCTTATGTTTTTTCCATTGTTGGGATGCACGTCTATCTTATAAAAGTAGATTTTTCAAGATTGAGCCCATTTAGGGCCGAGTATAGATTTTTCCTCTATATTCCTATGTAAAAATTTGATTGGCCATTGTGGCCCCACCCTACCCCTGGGGGTCATGATTTGAACAAACTTGAATTTACACCACCTGAGGATGCTTCCACATAAATATGACCAATCATAGCTTTGCTGTTCTTGAGAAGAAGATTTGAAGATTTTTCCTCTATATTCCTATGTAAAACTTTGATCCTCCATTGTGGCCCCACCCTACCCCCAGGGGTCATGATTTGAACAAATTTGAACCCACACTACCTGAGGATGCTTCCACATAAATATTACCAATCATTGCTTTGCTGTTCTTGAGAAAAAGATTTTTGAAGATTTTTCCTATATACACCTATGTTATACTTTGATCGTCCATTGTGGCCCCACCCTACCCCTGGGGGTCATGATTTGAACAAACTTGAATCTACACTAACTGAGGATGCTTCCATATAAATATGACCAATCATAGCTTTGCTGTTCTTGAGAAGAAGATTTTTGAAGATTTTTCGGCTCAGGTGAGCTAATAAATACTGTAGTGAAAAAATGCACTAAAACACTTTAGAAATAGAATGACAATTGAAAACGATTTTTTTTTTACCAGTCCTAAGATAAGTTTTTAAAGATTGATTTTTTTATTAATTAAAAACAGAGGGAGATAACTCCTACCAAAATCCAAGGTCATAAATTAGGATGCATTCCACCTTTACATGCTAATAGTAATAAATGGGAATTATGTCTAAATATACATAGTATTCAACACCTACACATCTGTTATGTATTCAATTTCATTGAATCCTTTAGCTATCAGGATATAATGCCTTAACTTCTTTATTGCTGATTTATCATACAACTTCTGCAGCTACCTTCTGAATGCCTGACCATCCCAAAGCTTTGCCTTATATACCCTTAGGCTAGTCCATTCCAAGGGATGTCAGGTCATTCCACTATTTGAAGTCTTCAATGCATTTTACTCCAGTGTCCCTTAAACATTATACCTATATATTCATATGTAAACCTTGACCCACTCTTGTGGCCCCGCCCTACCCCCAGAGGTCATGATTGGAACTTTAATCTACACTACTTGATGATACGTCTGTATTAATATGTCTAATCCTAATGGCTTATCTGTTCTTGAGAAAAAGATTTTTAAAGATATTTCCTATATATTCCTATAATAACTTTGACCCCCCCCCCCCCCTTGTTGTGGTCCTGCCCTACCCCCAGGGGTCATGATTGGAACTTTAATCTACACTACCTGAGGATACTTCTGTATTAATATGTCTAATAATGGTTTAGCTGTTCTTAAGAAGAACATTTTTAAAGATATTTCCTATATATTCCTATGGTAAACTTTGAAACCCTGTTGTGGCCCTGCCCTACCCCAGGGGTCATGATTGGAACAAACTTTAATCTACACTATCTGAGGATACTTCTGTAATAATATGACTCATCGTGGCTTTGCTATTCTTGAGAAAAAGATTTTTAAAGACATTTCTTATATATTCCTATGGTAAACTTTTACCCCCCTGTTGTGGCCCTGCCTCACCCCTAGGGGTCATGGTTGGGACAAACTTGAATCTACACTACCAGATACAGATACAGGTGATTTATTGCCATTCAAGGACCCCGAGAGGCATAAAACAATGAGACATGTTAAATTAAGCATGGTAGTAAACAGATTTATATAAATACAGCCTAGACAACAACAGAAGGTACCAAGGGACGATGCTTCCGGAACATACGTGAACCTATATATATATATATATATATATATATATATATATATATATATATATATATATAAATATATATACACACACACATAGAAACATGTTTGACTCATGCTGGGACATTTCAGTAATTTTACCTTTTAATACTATATAGTATAAATTGTATTTAAATATGTTCCACCTCGTACCTAATGTGGTTGTCCCAGGAAGTGTATACAATATATAAATTAAATTGCATCTATAATTATGAATATATACAGTACAGTTTAATAATTTGGAAAGATTCCATTAATCACAATTCAGGTAAATAAATTTTGCCAATTGCAGTAACACCTTTTTACTTTCATTGTTCATTAGCCAAACAAATTTATCAATTTGTTGTAGGTTAGAAAAATTGTAACATTCTTCATTTACAACTTTCAATAATTCTTGTCTGTCTACCTTGTTTTTCTCACAAAATAATAAAAAATGCATTTCATCACCAATAGCATTTGAATTACAGTGTTGACAAATTCTTAGCTGTGGTGGAATTTTCTTACATCTGCCTATTTCAATGATTAGTCGATGACATGAGATTCTAAATCTAGTAAAACTTTTTCGATAATCAACATTATTAATTAAAGACAAATAACCTTCCATTTGAAGTGAGTATTTAAATTTAACATAAGTCCTGAGTTTTAAAACTGTGTGCTGTTCTCTTTCTGCACTCCAGGATTTTAAAAAAGCTGACTTAAGAAGAGTATGAATATGATTTTTGAAAGTTTTAGCTGATGTCTTTTTAAAACATAGGTTTTTTATCTCGGGAATCTTATCCATAATAAATCTTACACAACCAAACCAGGAAGGAGTATTTTGATAATGCAGAAGCTTGGATGTAGAATATGCATTAAAAATAATTTCATTATCTGAAGATTCTATATTTTCTAATCTATGCCAGTAGTTAAGCATGCTATTTAAC